AGAATAATGATTGATTTTGTTGGAACCATATTCTAATTGACAAAGAGGAACAAATAAGATTTTCTACACAGAGTTTACATGTTAAATAGAATCTTTATACTCTCCTAGAAGGAAAGCAGAGTAGAAAAAAGATTTAATATATATTACAGTAATCTGATTTATGTGTAACCTGAAATGAAGGTGCCATCCTGGACTCCAGTCATCTGTGAGTTACAGGAAGTAGAGACTAGCTTCTGGATAATGTCTGCTTCCTCAAAAGGAAAGAAAATAATTGAAAGAATTCCTAAGCCAAATGAGTTGAAGACAGAAGAGGTAGAACTACAAAAGTAAATGATAAAAAGTACTGTAGAATTTTGGGAACAGTTATCACCCAAGTCCAGTATGACTCGTGTAGTTAACTAGCAGAATGTTGTCAAGAATTTATTATTTCCAACAGAAGTTTATTGAACCACTTGAGAATATTTAAGGAGCCATCATAAGACCAAGATACATTGCTTTGAATTTGAAAATTTGGAACCTGCAGGATTAAAGTGCAAGCTTCCTGCTGCTTTATAGAGGGTGAAGAATTAATTAAGTTAAAGATTACAGGTACGTCTTGCTACTTCTACTTACACTTAGGTCACACTACACATACATGTACACGTTTATTTATACACACTCATCTGAGTTTTCTTTGATTTTATCTTAATAGTTCTTGGTCTTATTACTTTTCCTTTTATATCCATGGGGAAGTGGAATAAGAATCTTTCCTCCGTAAGCCATGCGTGTTGTAAAAGTCAACTAAAATGCCGGGAACAATGGGCTAGTAACCCCTTTTCCTGTAAAGATTACTAAAAAGAATAAGAAGAAGAAAATTGTCAAAGTGGGAAGTCTGAATGTGCGTGGATGTTGTGCAAATGATAAGAAAGAGATGATTGTGGATGTTATGAATGAGAAGAAACTGGATGTCCTGGCTTTAAGTGAAACAAAGCTGAAGGGGGTGGGAGAGTTTCAATGGAGAGGAATAAATGGGATTAGGTCAGGGGTTTCAAACAGAGTTAGAGCTAAAGAAGGAGTAGCAATAATGTTGAAGGATAAGCTATGGCAGGAAAAGAGGGACTACAAATGTATAAATTCAAGGATTATGTGGAGTAAAATAAAGATTGGATGTGAAAAGTGGGTTATAGTAAGCGTGTATGCACCTGGAGAAGAGAGAAGTGTAGAGGAGAGAGAGAGATTCTGGGAAATGTTGAGTGAATGCGTGGGGAGTTTTGAATCAAGTGTGAGAGTAATGGTGGTTGGGGATTTCAATGCTAAAGTGGGTAAAAATGTTATGGAGGGAGTAGTAGGTAATTTTGGGGTGCCAGGGGTAAATGTAAATAGGGAGCCTTTAATTGAGCTATGTGTAGAAAGAAATTTGGTAATAAGTAATACATATTTTATGAAAAAGAGGATAAATAAATATACAAGGTATGATGTAGCACGTAATGAAAGTAGTTTGTTAGATTATGTATTGGTGGATAAAAGGTTGATGGGTAGGCTCCAGGATGTACATGTTTATAGAGGGGCAACTGATATATCGGATCATTATTTAGTTGTAGCTACAGTTAGAGTAAGAGGTAGATGGGAAAAGAGGAAGGTGGCAACAACAAGTAAGAGGGAGGTGAAAGTGTATAAACTAAGGGAGGAGGAAGTTCGGGCGAGATATAAGCGACTATTGGCAGAAAGGTGGGCTAGTGCAAAGATGAGTAGTGGGGGGGTTGAAGAGGGTTGGAATAGTTTTAAAAATGCAGTATTAGAATGTGGGGCAGAAGTTTGTGGTTATAGGAGGGTGGGGGCAGGAGGAAAGAGGAGTGATTGGTGGAATGATGAAGTAAAGGGTGTGATAAAAGAGAAAAAGGTAGCTTACGAGAGGTTTTTACAAAGCAGAAGTGTTATAAGAAGAGCAGAGTATATGGAGAGTAAAAGAAAGGTGAAGAGAGTGGTGAGAGAGTGCAAAAGGAGAGCAGATGAAAGAGTGGGAGAGGCACTGTCAAGAAATTTTTATGAAAATAAGAAAAAAATTTTGGAGTGAGTTAAACAAGTTAAGGAAGCCTAGGGAAAGTATGGATTTGTCAGTTAAAAACAGAGTAGGGGAGTTAGTAGATGGGGAGAGGGAGGTATTAGGTAGATGGCGAGAATATTTTGAGGAACTTTTAAATGTTAAGGAAGAAAGGGAGGCAGTAATTTCGTGCACTGGCCAGGGAGGTATACCATCTTTTAGGAGTGAAGAAGAGCAGAATGTAAGTGTGGTGGAGGTACGTGAGGCATTACGTAGAATGAAAGGGGGTAAAGCAGCTGGAAATGATGGGATCATGACAGAAATGTTAAAAGCAGGGGGGGATATAGTGTTGGAGTGGTTGGTACTTTTGTTTAATAAATGTATGAAAGAGGGGAAGGTACCTAGGGATTGGCAGAGAGCATGTATAGTCCCTTTATATAAAGGGAAAGGGGACAAAAGAGATTGTAAAAATTATAGAGGAATAAGTTTACTGAGTATACCAGGAAAAGTATACGGTAGGGTTATAATTGAAAAGAATTAGAGGTAAGACAGAATGTAGAATTGCGGACGAGCAAGGAGGCTTCAGAGTGGGTAGGGGATGTGTAGATCAAGTGTTTACATTGAAACATATATGTGAACAGTATTTAGATAAAGGTAGGGAAGTTTTTATTGCATTTATGGATTTAGAAAAGGCATATGATAGAGTGGATAGAGGAGCAATGTGGCAGATGTTGCAAGTATATGGAATAGGTGGTAAGTTACTAAATGCTGTAAAGAGCTTTTATGAGGATAGTGAGGCTCAGGTTAGGGTGTGTAGAAGAGAGGGAGAATACTTCCCGGTAAAAGTAGGTCTTAGACAGGGATGTGTAATGTCACCATGGTTGTTTAATATATTTATAGATGGGGTTGTAAAAGAAGTAAATGCTAGGGTGTTCGGGAGAGGGGAGGGATTAAATTATGGGGAATCAAATTCAAAATGGGAATTGACACAGTTACTTTTTGCTGATGATACTGTGCTTATGGGAGATTCTAAAGAAAAATTACAAAGGTTAGTGGATGAGTTTGAGAATGTGTGTAAAGGTAGAAAGTTGAAAGTGAACATAGAAAGAGTAAGGTGATGAGGTATCAAATGATTTAGATAAAGAAAAATTGGATATCAAATTGGGGAGGAGGAGTATGGAAGAAGTGAATGTTTTCAGATACTTGGGAGTTGACGTGTCGGCGGATGGATTTATGAAGGATGAGGTTAATCATAGAATTGATGAGGGAAAAAAGGTGAGTGGTGCGTTGAGGTATATGTGGAGTCAAAAAACGTTATCTATGGAGGCAAAGAAGGGAATGTATGAAAGTATAGTAGTACCAACACTCTTATATGGATGTGAAGCTTGGGTGGTAAATGCAGCAGCGAGGAGACGGTTGGAGGCAGTGGAGATGTCCTGTCTAAGGGCAATGTGTGGTGTAAATATTATGCAGAAAATTCGGAGTGTGGAAATTAGGAGAAGGTGTGGAGTTAATAAAAGCATTAGTCGTAGGGCAGAAGAGGGGTTGTTGAGGTGGTTTGGTCATTTAGAGAGAATGGATCAAAGTAGAATGACATGGAAAGCATATAAATCTATAGGGGAAGGAAAGAGGGGTAGGGGTCGTCCTCGAAAGGGTTGGAAAGAGGGGGTAAAGGAGGTTTTGTGGGTGAGGGGCTTGGACTTCCAGCAAGCGTGCGTGAGCGTGTTAGATAGGAGTGAATGGAGACGAATGATACTTGGGACCTGACGATCTGTTGGAGTGTGAGCAGGGTAATATTTAGTGAAGGAATTCAGGGAAACCGGTTATTTTCATATAGTTGGACTTGAGTCCTGGAAATGGGAAGTACAATGCCTGCACTTTAAAGGAGGGGTTTGGGATATTGGCAGTTTGGAGGGATATGTTGTGTATCTCTATACATATATGCTTCTAAACTGTTGTATTCTGAGCACCTCTGCAAAAGCAGTGATAATGTGTGAGTGTGGTGAAAGTGTTGAATGATGATGAAAGTATTTTCTTTTTGGGGATTTTCTTTCTTTTTTTTTTGGGTCACCCTGCCTCGGTGGGAGACGGCCGACTTGTTGAAAAAAAAAAAAAAAAAAAAAAAAAAAAGACAATTTTATTTTATGATTACAAAACAAGAATTTAATAGTGGATAATCATCATGCAAGATGAACCAAAGATGTTATATATTTAGTAGTATAAGAGTAACTGATGAGGATGGTGAAAGTTTTGAGATCATGAGAAACATTGGTGTTAGTTGGAGACTTTTAATTACTCTTAATCTGATATATACCAACAAAATATATCATGGGTGGGTTTTTACCAAAGTGCTGTATATTTCACCATATTCACAATTTCTGGAGCATGTCTTTGACATTTAAAACTTTTACAGCAGCTCTATTCACAGTAACATGTTATGTGTATTTAGCTTCTCAACAGACTTAAGTTTTAAATAAAAAGTTTAAAATGGTTATTGTAAATATTATTGTATATCACAGGTTGAGAACTGTATATATATTGCTGAATTAACAGCCAGTTTATTTCATTATGAATGCACAAACTTTGCATCCTATAACACTGGCTAGATCTATGACATTACTAATAACACCTAAGTGAAATTAACATTGAAGAGATAAAGCAAGAACTTCTAGAAAACTGAATGGTATTTAGTCAGCATAATACAGTATTGTAATTTATTAGATAAAAGTAAATGGCACATTGTACATTTTTGGGCATGATTCAACTTTTTATCTCAATACTTTATGAATTTTAGTCTTACTTTTTTCTTCAGCTTAAAGTGAAAATTATTTAAACTTTGTTTTTGCCACTGCATAAGTTATACTGTATTATATAATCACTGTAATAAATTTGTGAATTTTATTGAAAATATAATTACTGAAATAAATTCTTCAGAATTTAAACCAGTAATTTTTTTGTGTGTGTATCAATTCATCTGCAGACTGACGTACAGTACCCCCTGCCCATTGACAGAGAAATGAATATCACAGTATTCAGGCGGTTCAGGATCCTACAAAATTTTGGTGGTTATGGAACTGGTCAAATAAATGAGGTTAGACTGTAAATATTTTGTAATTTAAATTGGGGGACAGGTTCTTATTTGATAGTATGCAAAAGTTCAGTTTAACCACTGTACAAAACTAACGAGCTCATTTCCTCCGAACTAACAGTAAGAATTTGGTGCTGGCTTATGGGAGCTCTTTGGGAAGGGAAGCTAAATAAACATACATTAGTCAGTGATCACACTTCATTAATGTAAATAGCTGTGAGAAGTAATTACTATTTTCTTAAACAAAATATCCTTCTAGATATCATGATATATGTAATTATTTTTGCAAATCCCAATTTTATCAACATAAAACTTATGTTCACATTAATTTTCTGCGTTTATGAACTAGATGCTCACAGACCTGTCTATAGTGAAATGTATTTTATTGGCAAAATGAGATTTCAAGTTGTATTCGAAAAAGCACAAATCATTGCTTAACCCTTTGACTGTTTCAGGCCCCTCTCTGAAACTGTCATTCTATGTCGCTCAATTTTTGAAAAAAAAAAAAAATTATTTTTTCTTATGAAATGATAGAGAATCTTTTCCCGATGGTAATGACACCAAAAGTTCGAAATTTGGTCGAAAACTCGTGGAATTATGCTCCCGCGAAGTTAGCGGTCTCGGCGACATGTGCGTATCGGCGATTTCACCGACTTTGAGCCCAATTTTCAGCCAATTCCATTGCTCCAGTTGACCAAACTCATAGCTATTTCTTTAGAACTCCATTTTATCTATCAGCTGAGTACAAGAACCTCCCATTTACTAATTTGGACTACCCAATATGGTGGTCAGAAATTGGCAATTTGGCCAATTTCACGCAAAATAAAAAAGATGCCAATTTCAAAATAGGGTCCAGAATAAACAAGGTAGACATTCGTGGCACTAAAATAACATATGCTCTGTTCATTAGTCACATCTCTAGGCCCCTCTTATATTATTATTGCTTTCTATTTTGATTTTTTATTCATACAAAAAAATACAAAATTTACTGTTATGCAGACGACTGCATTATTGTAAAAATGGTATAAATAATATCAGTGCACTAGTGAAAGAATATTAGACTCCCCAGTTGACGTGTATTGGACGTGTGGTGTGATTTATTTACTCTTGAACATTGGTAAAAATCGAACATTTCCGCTACTTTGAGCTCAGTTCAAGGTCGTTTTCATCGTAAAAGTAATGAAAATCATCTCTATTTCTGTAATATGTTTTCCATTTTATCAACTAAGACCATGAAAAACGCGAATACAACGATAAATACTATACGAAAATACACCTCAAAGTCGGCGTTTTATTCCAAAAAAACGATCAGAGTTTTTTTTTTCTCATTACGCAATGTGTGCTGCAGGATTTTTTTTATGTGGTGCACACTGACCACACAGACCCATTCTCTCACATGTGGGCCTACCAGCTTTCTCCCACTTGATTTGAAGCCGCTAGAATTATTGAGTATATATACGTCAGAAACATTGGCTCGTAAGACGTATTTATACGTCGAAAACAGTCAAAGGGTTAAAGAATCATTTAATGAAAAAATATAAAGGAATCCCTCTCTTTTGCTGGCCTTATTCCTGCCTGGTAAAAGGGATCAGCCATTTTGATCTTTTTACCTAGTTCCTTCTTATTAGTGGATATATCATGCCTGGTTTTAGCAATTTTCTTAATATCTTGCTCATCACTTCATCTTGTCCTGGGGCTTCCATTACAATGCTTCTCCTGTTTGTGCCAGTGCTTTTTTGTTGCTGTATTTTTGTCTCTGCTTTTAGCTCATCACTCATCATTTCTCTGGTTTGCACTCCATCTCTTTATTGATTTTTTTTCTGGGATACCTCTCGGTATTTTATTAGCCTTCATTAATCTGTTCTATATTGCAGATCTACCCTCTTTCTTATAGCTCCCTTGGTCTGAACATAGATTATAATCCTTCAAAAGATCATTAAGAATAATTTTTTTCAAAATGACACTAGTTTATCATAATAAATGATTGGTTAAGTTTTAAACCGTGGTCCTAGACATAGTATCCTTACTTAATTACATATCAAATACAGATATTACTTGCTAGGTCACATTTCTTTAAGTGTATTTTGATTATTGTTAACATTGATGTACTGTATACCTTTATAAGAAAAACAGAAATTTAGAAAATTGTGTTAGTTGCAACACAATCAGCATAATTGTTTTATATTTTAATTCTGTGGGCTTGATTTTAGGCAGCAAGTACCACACTTAAAATTTACGTAGCTGTAGTTCTTCATACTGCATAGATCTCTAATGATGTAATTACAGTATGTGCTCAATCAACACACACACACAAGTGATGGTTTGGTGGGGGGGACAGGGGATGCAGGGGCAGATGAAAGTAAGTTTATTCAGGTATACACAAGTACAGTTACATAGATTATCATACATAGCAGCATATGTGTAGAGAACCTAGGATAACCCAAAAAAGTCAGACAGAGTGACTTATTTCCATTGGGGTCCTTTTACCTTATTATTATAATATAAAGGTTATAATATTTTCTTATTATTCTATAATAAAGATAACATATTATTATTATTATACTAAAGAGACTATCTACTACACGAGGGTCATTAAGACTATCTGCAATACGAGGGTCATTACTAGGAATAAGGTAAAATTATACGTGTGTTAGCTAAAAAAATAAAAAATCATTCCCCTCCCTTTCTGTAGCTACATTCATCAGACACCTTTTGGCACTCTTCTTGAACTGGTTCATGCTATGACTGGCTTTGACATGTGCGGGCAGTCGTTTCCATTTCCATTGCTGTACAATAAAAGGTGTTTGAAGCTTGGCCACTGACTGTGGGTACTACAAAGTTGTGCTCTCTCCCCTTAGTACTATGATTGCTTTGGTTCCCAACCTCGACAAAATTGACAGCAAGATATTCTGGACACTGTTTGTGAGCAATTTTATAAACATGATTTAGCTTCAGTTATTTTACTCTGTCTTCAACATTCAGCATATCCAACTGCTGTAATTCATTCTGGCCTACATGCTCTCTTGGATGCAGGGCCAGGATGAATCTTACAATTTTGTTCTAGGTGATTTGCAGTCTATCTTTCAGTTTTTTTTGTCAAGGCAGAGTACCATGAAGAGCAAGCATAGTCCATATGACACTGTATAAGGGCTAGACATAGGGTCCTGCGAGCCTCAGTAGGTAGACATTGCGCTTCTCTATAGAGGAGCTTCAGTCTGGCATTCGCTTTCTTTACTACACTGTTCCCTATCAATGCATGGGTCAAAGGGGATTCCCAGATATTTTACTGATGAAAGAAATTCTGGGTGTTCAAAAATTTTTGAAGGAAATCTTTTCTATTTGTACTGTCATTATTTCCAAATAAATATGAACCAAAAATTAAATGATGCTGATTTTTAAGCAAAACACTTCTTGCATAAAACAAATGTGTACTGCATAAAAACAGTGCATTTGAAAAATAAATGAATGTTCAAGTCTGAAACACCTTACAAATGCAAAATAATACTAAACAAATATTAGTTCACCACACTTGCACAAATCATAAAAAAATCAAGATTAAGGTTAGGACATGTGAGAAAATAACTATTTTCTTTTCCATTTTCACCTCATTCCACTAATTGTTTCTCTTGCTTCCGGTATCTTTAAAATTCAACACAATTGCAGTGTATTCTTAAAACCACTCTACCTTTTCTATGCCATTGTTGACTTTCTCTCATGCCAGCCTTACTCTCAAAAATTTTTCATGGCTCTCACAATTCTTTTCTTTAATTTACCCAATGGGAATAAGTCACTTTAACTTTTTTGAGTTATCCTAGGTTCTCTACACATATGCTGCTATGTATGATAATCTATGTAATTGTATTTGTGTACCTGAATAAACTTACTTACTATTCAATATATTTCACTTTCCCTTTACTATCAGGTAACATTATTGATTGGGTAAATTAGTTGCTTGTTTGAAATATGTACAGTAAGGTCTTGATTTAATGGATTAAATGGAGGAGTGGAAAGCCAATAAATGGCAATTGTAATGGATAGAGACTGTTTTGCTGTGTTCATAATAATGGACCCCAGTGAATCTTGTTCCATATTTCCAAAGTCCATTAAACTGAAGCCCTTTGATTTGAGTGTTTACTGCACAACCAAAAGCCTACCCTTCAGTCTTTTAACTAGTACATAGTTCAGCAGACTATCAGACTATGTACTGTATAGTACGTAGATATACTGCCAAGAGTAATGACGACAAGATATATATACACAGCAAATTTTGACCGTGACAGTGTTTTTTCTGTATGTAGAACAAATTTTAAAAAGTTTCTATGTAGAGTGACATGTTTTCACAATAAAGTATTGCTCTATACCTGTCTTTTCTTCAATTTACTAAACATATAAAAAAAAATCTTAGTTATTAGGTTGGTAGACAGCAACCACCCAGCGAGGTACTATTGTCCTGCCAATGATTGTGAAATGGAAACCTGTAATTGTTTTACATGATGGTAGGATTGCTGATGTCTTTTTTTTCTGTGGACGTGTCAGTGGATGGGTCTATGAAAGATGAGGTGAATCATAGAATTGATGAGGGGAAAAGGGTGAGTGGTGCACTTAGGAGTCTGTGGAGACAAAGAACTTTGTCCTTGGAGGCAAAGAGGGGAATGTATGAGAGTATAGTTTTACCAACACTCTTATATGGGTGTGAAGCATGGGTGATGAATGTTGCAGCGAGGAGAAGGCTAGAGGCAGTGGAGATGTCATGTCTGAGGGCAATGTGTGGTGTGAATATAATGCAGAGAATTCGTAGTTTGGAAGTTAGGAGGAGGTGCGGGATTACCAAAACTGTTGTCCAGAGGGCTGAGGAAGGGTTGTTGAGGTGGTTCGGACATGTAGAGAGAATGGAGCGAAACAGAGTGACTTCAAGAGTGTATCAGTCTGTAGTGGAAGGAAAGCGGGGTAGGGGTCGGCCTAGGAAAGGTTGGAGGGAGGGGGTAAAGGAGGTTTTGTGTGCGAGGGGCTTGGACTTCCAGCAGGCATGCGTGAGCGTGTTTGATAGGAGTGAATGGAGACAAATGGTTTTTAATACTTGACGTGCTGTTGGAGTGTGAGCAAAGTAACATTTATGAAGGGATTCAGGGAAACCAGCAGGCCAGACTTGAGTCCTGGAGATGGGAAGTACAGTGCCTGCACTCTGAAGGAGGGGTGTTAATGTTGCAGTTTAAAAACTGTAGTGTAAAGCACCCTTCTGGCAAGACAGTGATGGAGTGAATGATGGTGAAAGTTTTTCTTTTTCGGGCCACCCTGCCTTGGTGGGAATCGGCCAGTGTGATAATAAAAAAAAAAAATAAACACGTGGGATAACAGGTATATCTTGTTACAGAGTCTTCCCTACTTACGAACAGGTTAAATTCCAAGAGGTCATTCATTAGTCCATTTGTTCATAAGTCCGACGTATGTACGTATACAGTATTGTACAGTGGTGTAGTATATGTACATATGAACATGGAGTAACCTAGAAGTGTACATAGTTTAAACATATAAGTAAACACAAGAAAAATACAAAAATACATTATGTCTACTTCTGTTTCCATTGTAATGGCCTGGTGCTTCTTAGGACTACCACCTGCATCACCACTTTCTTTAGTGCTTAATGCCAGACATATTGGGGGTATAATAATCACAAATAACACTGAATTTGTGGAAAGAGCACAAGCACATGTATGAACAATGCTGCTAGAGTAACCTACTGTGTATTGTTTACATGTCAGCACTTCCCGCAGTTATCGAAAGTTCACAACACGAATGTTTGTATGTATGGGAGTCTCTGTACTTTTACTTACACTTCGGTCACACTACACATGCATGTACATGAATATATATACACCTATCTGAATTTTCTTTTATATTTTCTTAATAGTTCTTGTTCTTCTTTATTTCCTCTTATCTCCATGGGTAGATGGAAAAGAATTCTTCCTCCATAAACCATGCGTGTCACAAGTGGTGACTAAAATGCTGGAAGCAAGGGGCTAATAACCCCTTCTCCTGTATACATTGCTAAATTTAAAGAGAGAAAGTTTCATTTTTTTTTTTTTTAGGTCACCATGCCTTGGTGGGATACAGCCAATTCATTTAAAACGATTCACCTATAAACTCTCTTACTGCAGAATAACTTCAGTGCAAATCTATACAGGCTGTTGCTAAGTAACTAGCAATCTTCTACACTGTCCAAAATGCTAAGCATTGTATGGGTTTTGTAAAATGTTACTATGTACATTGTTCCTATGTTGTTCCCATACCTATGTCTGTTGTAACTTTTTGTAAATATACAGTTGGCCCTTGAACAACATGGGTTAGAACTGTGTAGGTTCACTTATATGTGGATTTTTTTAATGAGTATTTTTTTAAATTTTTGGAGATTTGCAATAGAAAAAATTAAGAAAAAGTTATGTCATGAATGCATAAAATATATGAAGAGACCAGTCTATTTTATCATTTACCATAAAATATACACAGATCTATTATAAAAAATTAAAATTTATCAAAACTTATACAAACAATTACAGATCATACATGTTCCATTTGCAGTCTAGGTATCTGTCCAGCTCCCTCTTGCAGACAACCAGGGGTCTATTAGTAATTCCCCTTATGGCTGGTGGGAGGCTGTTGATCAGTCTTGGGTCCCGGACACGTATTGTGTTTTCTCTTAGTGTACTAATGGCACCCCTACCTTTCACTGGGGGTATGTTGCATCGCTTGCCCAGTCTTTTGCTCTTGTAGGGAGAGATTTCTGTGTGAAGATTAGGGACCAGTCCCTCCAGGATCTTCCAGGTGTAGATTATGATGTAACTCTCTCACCTGCACTCCAGTGAGTACAAGTCAAGTGCTCGAAGCGTTCCCAGTAGTTAAGGTGTTTGATGGAAATTATGTATGCAATAAAGGTTCTCTGTACATTCTTTAGATCTGCAATTTCACCTGCCTTCAATGGAGATATTATTGTACAGTAGTATTGCAGCCTAGAGAAAACAAGTTATTTAAAAAGGAGCATCATAAGCTTGGCATCTCTTGTCTTTAATGTTCTCATTATCCATCCAATCAGTTTCCTCCCAGATGTGATAGTGGCACTGTTGTGATCCTTGAGGGTGAGATCCTTAGGCATTACCACTCCCAGGTCCTTCACATCACTTTTCCGTTCTGTTGTGTGATTAGTCTGTAGAATACTCAGTTCTAGCTGTTGTTTCCTCCAGTTTTCCATAATGGAGTACAGTGGACCCCTGATTTTTGTCTGGTGCAGAAGTCGTACAATTCGGATTTCGAGCACTTTTTTCCACTAAATTTTCCCCAAGGTTTCGTACATCTGCTCAGAAATTGTCTGTATCTGGATTTTTTGGGTTATCCTAGGTAATTTATACTATGTATAATTGTATTTGTGTACCTGTGAGACAGAGATAGACAGATATAGATACAGACAGAGATAGAGACAGCCAAAGTCAATCAGCCAACCAAGCCAGCTGCCAGCCAGCCAACCAAGCCAGCCGCTGGCCAGCCAGCCAAGCCAGCCGCCGGCCAGCCAGCCAAGTCAGCCGCCGGCCAGCCAGCTGGCCAGCCTGCTTGGCGAACATGTATTGCACCTTCCAGAATTGTTTCTCTTTACTTAGGGCATAGGTTATAAGACATTCTGGCAGGATGACACTACCAGTGGTACCAAAATTGAAAGTGTGTTGCAAAAATGTTGCACATGGGTTATTGAAGTTTTTGATATTTCCTTAAACACTTGTGGCCACATCCACCTCAAAACCACTAAACTTGAGGTCAACATTGCTTTCCTCTTAAAATAGGAGTGTTAATACTACATGACATTGGTGAATCCCAGGTATTTGCCACACTGTTTGCCCTAGCTGGCGCTCAGTTGAACTGGTGCTCCCACAATGTACTAAGTGGTCCCAGATTTTTTAATACTGTGCACACCGAGTGTTAAGACCCATTTTATGCTGACTAGGCATCTCAGGCCAATCATGCTAAATTTGGAGGCAGGAAAAATAAAACAGATCTTTGTGTGGAGCGCTAGCAGTAAGAACATTGATCTACGTTTGGACAGTTAAAGGGTTAAATATATAATTTTGTATCTCTTTATTAGCCTTAAATATCTGTGTGTCTGAGAACATTTTTTTTGTACAGTATAATTACAAATTGTCCATGAAAGATTTCAGGTACATCTTTCTACTTCTATTTACACTTAAGTCACACTACACATGCATGTACAAACATATATATACACACACACCTCTGCATTTTCTCCTCTTTTCTTACTGGTTCTTATTTATTTCCACTTATCTCCTTGGGGAAGTGGAACAGAATTCTTCCTCCGTAAGCCATGTATATCATAAGAAGCGACTAAAATGCCGGGAGTAATGGGCTAGTAACCCCTTTTCCTGTATATATTACTAAGTTTATAAAGAGAAACTTTCGTTTTTCTTTTTGGGCTGCCCTGCTTCGGTAGGATATGGCCGGTGCGTTAAAGGAAAGAAGCATTATAAATTGTATACTTTTGCACACAACAAACTTGTAAATTTGTCTAACAATAAGTAAAGTGCTACCCTTGAAGGAGAGAGAGAGAGGGTAAGGGGAGACAGGGAGGGAAAGGATATATGTAGAGGGCAGGGGAACATGTAGAAGGTAAGTGGAGATGGAAATATACAGTAACCAAGGGAACAGGAGTTAAGACAAAGTGTACAAATGGAGTGGAAATGTTTGAAAAGGATTGTGATGTCTCAACAAAACTTGGCAGGTTCTAAGTGGGTGATCCTCAACAATTGGAGATTGCACAGTAACTATAAATAAACTTTTATTTCCTTGGGATACCCCTTGACATGGTTCTATACATGATGTGCACAGTGCTTGGTCAATCAGGTTAAGGACAGTTGAGTGTGACCAGTAACTGGATGATCAGTCATATGATTACTATCCCTAAGATGGGTATAATATAATACTAAGTAGAATTCATTAATTTTTTTGCACTTATTCAGGCTTTCATATCCTTGTTGATTTTTAAATGGAAGCTGTTTTATGCCAGTAATTGATACTGTGCAGTATTTCATCACATGTATATCTTCTTCCTTAATTAAATCGGTATATGCAGCGATACCTTGAGTTACAAACTTAATTTGTTCCAGAAGGCTGTTCAAGTGCCGATACCGAACGAATTTGTTCCCGTGAGGAATAATGTAAATTAGATTAGGCCGTTTCAGACCCCCAAAAATACACTTACAAAAGCACTTACAAAATACACTTACATAATGGTTTGAGTTGGGAGCTGTTCAAAACTCGAGGTACCACTGTATATGTTGAAAGGTGCATATCTCTGCATATGTGCATTAAAGGTTTGCTTTAATCTCTATTTTAAGGATAAAAGTATTGCTTTAAACCTAGCAATCCTTAACTTTACAGTATAATGAAGTTGTGTGATTGTAATTACCCTGACAGTCTGGAGTCTGGCTGCTTCTACAACATTTAATATCTTGTAGTGTGTTATTTAATCAGCACATTCTTACCTTTTGTGATGTGTGTGTGCATTTATTTCATGCTCAGTGTATGTACAGTACTCTATATTATGTCTCTTTGGTAATTCAGCAAATATCACTTAATGTATGTCAAAATAAATACATTAGGTAGGCTTTTGTCTGATTCATCTAGCTGTATTTCCTACTTAGACAAGAATACAAATTACTTTTAAATTATCTCCCTCATATCAGTGAAATTTTCTTTTTCAGTATTTCTGCTTTCTCATATTTGCTAGGAATGTTTGTGGGTTGCTGCTTTTGGGAACTGTCCCCTCTTGAGAATGTGGCTTCAGACTTCTCTTTGGCAATAAGCAATTATGCCTTAATACTTATAATTTGTAAACAATATATTATTTTAATAGTACAACATTTTTGTAATTATGTGTATTGGAAACAGTTTTTAGGATATTAAATTATTATATTTACCTTCAGGAAAACCACTCTCGTCGGATGGTGACAGAAAAGCTTCTTCAGTATGCATTTCCTGCCTCTCATAAGCTGCCTTTCTTTGCCTTTGAATACTGTGAACAGTATCCTGAGAATGGCTGGAGTGTTTATGAGCCCATCGCTGAACTGAAGAGACAGGTAATGTTAAGCAGTGCTAATGTTGCAACTGCCATTAAGCATGTGCTTGTATTACTGTATACTCTAGTATAAAATTTATTACTGACTTTTTAAAGTGTGGTATTGGCTTGATCCTTTATGAGAGTAGCAGTTGAGCAGCATTTATTTGGTTAACAAATGCAGTAGATACTGTTTTGCATCACCAAATATTGATGAATATGTAAGTAAATTACTGTGTATTGACCAGACAGTGTTTCACTCTAGAAGTTTTCCTGAGTATATAGAAAAATAAAAAGGAGGATATATATCCCCCATAGAATGACTGAGAGCACAGGGAAGAGGAAGTTGGTAATTAAAGTTGTGTAGTGATAAACTTTTCCAGTTGACTGCTTTTCATACTAGAGTGCAATTTGAAAAGTAATGCATGTGGTCTGTTTTGTATATTGGTTTCTTACCAAGGCCTGCTGACTAACAAGTTTCAATGTTTTGCAAAGTTACAAAACCCATTGGTGTTCTAGTTCAGCGCAAACACACCGAAAGCCACAACAATACTCCTGTCGTTTACAAGTTTCCTCATAAAGACTGCACCTCAGCTTCAGTGAGACCTCCAGGAAGAGACATTACAATTAAGAAACACAAATTTGCATAGAGGACTCGCAGCACATAACACACTGGGACTGACACATGAATGCCATGGAAGCAGAAAATGAAGTAATGTTAACTCTTTCATTGTTTGTCCTGTTATATCACAGCTTTGAAGCCAGTGTTGGTCCCATAGTATGATGCCGTGAGCTCATCACACTCAGATAAGCTGTCAGTGGTAAATTTGGGCCTAGATATGAGAGAATGGGTCTCTTTGGTAAGTGTGCACCATATAAAAAAATCCTGCAGCACACAGTACATAATGAGAAAAAAACTGCGACCATGTTTTTGGTTTAAAGCAGCAACTTTGCCATGTATTTTTTTTATGGCTTTTATGGATGTATTCTCTGTTTTTTGGTCTCATTTGATAAAATGGAAATTGAGCTCAAAGTAGCAGAAGTGTTTGATTTTGCTTATATTCCAGAGTACACAATACTCATCCAACTGTCCAGTTTAATACACATTTAGGAATGCACTAACATTATTTATACAATTATTACAATAATGCAGTAGTCTGCATAACAGTAAATCTTCTGTTGTTTGTGTGAATAAAAATTCAAAATGAAAAGCATGTGTTATATAAGAGGGCCCTGGAGACATGACTCAGGAGCAGAAGAAATATTTATTTAGTGCCAGATATGTTTACATTTTTTATTCTGGACCCTATTTTCAAATTGGCAATTGTTGAATTTTGTATGAAATTGGCCAAATTACTGATTTCTGATCACTTTATTGGGTAGTTGAAAAAGGTAAGTGGATGATTTCTTGTACTCAGTCAGTAGAATAGAAAGAATGCTAGTGAAATATGTATAAGTTTGGTGGACTGGAACACTGGAATTGGCCAAAAATAGAGTGCAAAGTGGGCAAAATCGCTGATGCATAAATATCACCAAGACCGCTCACTTTGTGAGAGCATAATTCCATAAGTTTTCCATCAAATTTTTTACTTTTGGTTTCACTACGGTTGGAAAAATATTCTCTGTCATTTCATAAGATAATTTTTTGTTTTATATATAAATTCTTTGACACTGAGAGCAAGTTTGAGAGCAGGAGTCTCGACACTGAAAGGGCTAAAGAACCATATAAAACTTAGCCTTTAATAGCATTATTTTGGGCTGAAAATTTTTTCTCTTAAAACTGGAAATTAATGTGATGGAATTATTTGTTTGGTCACTTACTGCCCACCAATGTGAAAACATGCTGATAGCTATGATAGTGTTGATTAACAAAAAAAAAAAAATGTCCATTCCTCTGCTCCCACAAGGGCACCAAACAAATGTGGAATGAGAGGGAAAAAAAAATTATCTCATTTATGCTAAAATTATCTAGGTTTTACTTTTTTCACTACACATTCTTACTCAGTGATTTTTAAGCAATATTGAAAAACATGAAAAACTTAACTGTTTTGTGGTCAACTCTCTGAGGTTGCCCACCTGGACGAGCCACTTATAAAGACAGTTAATTGATCTATCTTCCACTCCCTTAATTATAGCCATTCTATAAACTGGTTGTGAGGGAAAAGTTCAACAGATAGGAGTAGCGAGCGAGTATATGGTAACGATAGTTTGATTGCCGGCTGCTTGTTAAGGTAGAGTCAGTCTAGCTCCCGCTATCCCCTTTCCCCCCCTTTCTTCCCACCCCGAAAGGTGACGTGTGGAGCTCCGCCCAAACAGTAATCACTTGACTCACAACTCCCAGCACAACTGTAAGTAAAAGCCTCTGCTCCTATTCTAGCGGATATTGGTTGAAAGCTTCATTTTTGACCAATAATAAACTTTGTCCTTTCAGTTTTAAGCTCCACATGAGACTTTTCGATAATCACCACCTTGTTTAAGTATCTTGCACTTATCATGGAAAGTGATTTCTTAAGCATTGGGTAACCTGTCTCTTTCCAGCTTGGAA